CTGTACCAGTGTACATGCTCTGGTTTAGCCAGATTTGTAAGGTAGAATTGGGGTCATGATAGTATGTGTGTGTGGGGGGGGAAGCATTAAAGTACTAGAGCAGAGTTGTGTGTTTCATCAGTGCTATACTGCACCCTCACTGGCTTGTCTCTTCCTTGTGGTCCTTCTGTAAGGGGATGTCCAATTGACTACTGACAGGCTTTGGGTCTCCATTCTGCCCTCCACCAGATTCACATTGATAAGGTTTTTTGTTTTGTTTTGGGTCTTTGATGCCTGATACCTGATCCCATTGACACCTCATGATCACACAGGCTGGGGTGCTTCTTTCATGTGGGCTTTGTTTCTTTTCAGCTAGTTGGCCACTTGTTTATCTTCAAGCCTTTAAGACCCCAGACACTATATCTTTTGACAGGCACATCAGCTTTCTTCATCACATTTTCTTATGCACCGATTGTGTCTTCAGCAATCATGTCAGGGAAGGTGATCATCACAGAGTGCTGTGTTAATAGAACAAAGTGTTCTTACATTGAGGGAATACTTGAGTGGAGACCCAATGTCCGCCTGCTGCCATCAAATTGCCAACTTTTAATAGCTTAGTGCAAAGTTTGCACCTTATAGATAAAAAGACGATGTCTTAGGCTGGGTTCTCTAGAGGAGCATAGCACAGATGTGATATGCAATCACATGTGAAAGCATTTGAAGTAAAATCAGGCCTCCTCATCAAACAAGTGAAGGAGGAAAATTTCTACCATCTCCCCACAACTCAAAATCTGTTACGGAAAACCATTGGTTGCATTCCCAAACAAAATGTGTGGATTCACTGGAAAAGTTGCAAAAGGAGTTCCAATGTAGATTTAAAGAGCTTCATCTCCATGAACAGGACATACAGCTTTTCCGTAACCCATTTTCTATTGACATTGAAAACGTGGATACAATTTACCAAATGGAACTGGCTGAACTGCAGAATTGTGACTCTCTGAAAGACACATTCAAGTCAAGCAGCCTTCCTAATTTCTCTGCATCCCTCCCCTCTGAGACATATCCTAATCTCAGGAACTATGCACTCAAAATGGCAACCATCTTTGGCAGCACTTATGTCTGTGAACAGACTTTTTCCAGAATGAAACATCTGAAATCTCCAACCAGATCTAGACTAACTCATGCACACTTGCATCGCTTGTTACGACTAGCAGTGACAAATATGGAACCGGACATTGACCATCTCATTAGCAAAAAGCAGGCCCATGGTTCCCATTGAAATACTGGTAAGTTTGTTGATTTAACTTTATTTGTTCTTCATTTTAAATATTGTATTTGTTCCCATTTTGTTTTTTTACTTCAAAATAAGATAGTGCAGTGTGTATAGGAATTTGTTCATGGTTTTTTTTAAACTATAGTCTGGCCCTCCAAAGGTCTGAGGGACAGTGAACTGGCTCCCTGTTTAAAAAGCTTGAGGACCCCTGTTTTAGAAGGATAAGCACAAAGTTAGTTTCTATGAGGCAGAAACCAAAGATATCCCAAATGTCCAAACCACTGTACCATTCCATCGTCTTTAACATCAACTCCTCCTCTTCCCTTCACCATAATCCTTCCCTTCTTTGGCTACCATAATTCACTGCAACATCTCACAAGCCATCAAAGAAATGGCTCATGTTTATGGAGGATGGTAAGCACCAAATCTGTTGGTTAGGCATCCATCTGGAGGCCCCTCCTGACTCACATGGTTGCAGGAAATAACAAAATTAAATCTACAGGTCAGAAAACAATTCATACATAAGGCCAGGAATCAGATAAGATGATAGGCTGCTGGTTCAAGCCCTCAAAACCAGAGGTCCAGTGATGATGAGCCAGATGCAGGATCCAGAACAAGAGAGAGTGTTGCCAGAGCATTCATAGACACGTATTGGATGCAAATCACACAGAGGAACGCTCCTTACTTGAGCAAGGGTGTAGAAGGTGGTGAGTGGGATAAGGGTAGAGACTTGAGTTACACAGTCTCTAAGGTTGAGACTCAAGATGAATTTCACCCTAATCCTGCCTCACAAACAATCCAGACAGCTCATTCCACAGGGAGCGTAACCACAGGCACACATGGAGGGAAGCATTTACAGCACATCACAAATAGAAAAGTCATGGACAACCCTGGTTCTTTTCACCATTGGGCTTTTCATATTCATACTTGAAGAATTAACTTGCCACTCCCAAATCATTTTACTAGCTTAATAATTCGCTCGTCATCATGCTCAACATAAAGAAGCAACTGTCTCAATAAGTGTCTTAAGAAGAAAGGAATGCTCTTTGGACAACTCTAAGTTTTTGGACTAGTTCAATGAAATCAGAGATGATGCAATTGTCTCTTCACTTTGTAAATCAATCTACAGTGAACCCTCGTTTATCGTGGTTAATCGGTTCTAGACCCTACCGTGATAAATGAAATTCCGCGAAGTAGGATTCCTTATATCCAAAAGTTTTACCTTTTCCTGTATGGTGGGCATCTTCCTCTGGCGCTTATTTTTATTGTTAGAAGGCTTAGAAGAAGCAGCTCCTTTAGGAGCCATCATAGGGCTTAGATAAAATTTCTTAAAAATCGCAAACAATTACAGTACACTGGACAAAAGCAAAAATGCATCTGATACGTAGCTCCGATACGTAGCGATGCAGACAGAAGCGTGTACAGTATGAGCCAATCAGTGGCAGTAATGACATAGCATGCGCTGTTACGCAAAAACCGCGATAGAGCGAAGCCGCGGAAGTCAAAGCGCGAAGTGGCGAGGGTTCACTGTATTGGCTAAATCAAATTCACAGAGAGATAAGGGCAGCTTCCTCCATTTAAACTATTGCTTAGGGTAACGATTAGTTCTAGATACATCCCACTCTTTTACTTACTGCATATTTGAAGTTTGGTTGTTTTTATTTCTTCTCATAGAGCGCATTTATCCAATTTTTCTAATTCCCGTCAAGTCATCTGTCTGGGGCATTTGATTCCCCTGAGTTTTTTCTAATGATCTTGAAGAATTTTTCTTGTAATTACCCTGTATCATCCAGATAATAGATTTTGCATACTTTGGTCAATGTCCCTGAATTATCTCATGTTTATATTATTTTGCAAACATTCCTGATAATAAATTACATGTGATCCAAATATTCAGTAACGTTTGCGCTTTTTTGAAAGTAGTAGTGATATTTACGAATATAGCTTTGAAAATGGGACTAAGATTTTAGTAACATACAAGCCTCCATATGCAAATTTCAAAGCGAATTTGAAGATGTGGAGTTTAAGAATACAGTACATCTTTTTATTTATTTTTTTCAATACATCTTTTTAAATCACCCAAGTTATAAAATAAATAGGGGAGCGAAATCACTGGGGATCAAGTCAGTACTCACTGAGCCTATACAATGGCAACTTGAATAGAGAGAATTATACTACCAAACAATCTGCCTTCAACTTTGTGTAGCTTTATAAATAGTATCGCACATATTTTGCAGCTCAGACTATTATCTGGAAGGGAACTGAATTGGGACTTGCCCGATGGCTACCATAAATTAGTCTAATAACGTTGTTGATATTATCTTTATTGTATTCTGTAACATGCCACACATCACGATATGTATATATTATATACCATCTATATTACATATAATTTAAAAATTTCTGCGTATGAAGATAAAGACCATCTTCTCACATTTAAAAAGAACTTTGCAAATTATTTTCCGTTTTGGAATTTATTGAAGTATTCCATAAGAGGTAAAGACCCTAAGAAAGAGCTGAAATGCCTTCACTTTGTTCCTTTGTTATAAAGAGTGGGCACTTCTCACCTGACTGTTGTCTATTGCCCCAGTCCTGTGTCAAATTAGATAAGCAGTGGGATGATGCATGATTTTAATTTTGTGTTTTCAAATAAATGCACCTTGTTGGTGCTGGGTGCCAGGCAGGCCATTCCCACACCCAGGGACCCCAAATCTCTATGATATACCCGGGGTGCTGCCAACACCCCTCATTGTTTGGGCAGCATTTCTGTTTGATTGAAAACGAAAGCCGCTCCTGATTTGTTTGCAAATACGGAGCTGGTGAGAGTTTTGGTGATTTCTTGAAGTTCCTAAATAAACATTGTTCGGGCAGCAATGCCAGGCCCTTCGTCCTGCTTGGGAAAACCTCATTGCTGGTCTGGATGTATGGTGCTATCGGAAGTCATTTGGGTCCTCTGTCGCGCTGTTATCACTCCTTGACTACAGAGCCTGTTAACTTGATGCTTCATTTACTCCCCTGGTCCCCTCACCCCCACCCCCCTAGCCCACCCCACCTCTCTGGTCTCCTCAGTAAGGCTGGGAATAATTTTCTATTATCATCATAAACCAAATGATAGTTCAGGCATTCCCAGGGCGTCGCCCTGAGCCTCAAGGCCACCCCCTCCTCAGATTGCAATCGCTGCAAGGACCGCCCCCCACCTTCTTGGACCGGTTAAAGAAACCCAATGCTAGAAGACCCCGGACGGGAGTAGCTCGGTAGGCGACTCAGTCCCGCAGTGTGGGTTCTGAAAACATCAAATTTGAGAAGCAAAAGTTTCCTTTGTCAAGCAAGTGACCACGTGGCACTATGGCGAACAGCCCCGAAACACTCCCGTAATGGCCTGCAATAATCAACCTCGGGAGGGCTGGACCCCGCAGGGGGAAGCGCCAGCCACTCCCAGGGAAAGCTTGGGGAGGACCCAGCCCGGAGCGGGAAAGGGACGTAGAGGCGGGGCGGCGGCGCCAGGGAGGCGGGGAGCAGAGACCCCGCTCTGGGTGGGGAGGAGCGGGGAGGAGCGCGGGCGGCTTGGGAAGGTGGGAGACGGCGGGAGAGGGGCGGGGCCTTGGGGAGAAGGCGGGGCCTTGGGAGGAGGCGGGGCTTTGGGGAGGAGGCGGGGAGAGGAAGGAGACGCCAGGGGCGGGGCGGGGCAAGTGGGCAGGGCCTGGCGGGGCGGGGCGGGGCGAGAGCTGAGCGGTGGCGGGCGAGGCAGGGTCCCGGCCATGGCCTCCATGGCGGCGGCGATCGCGGCCTCGCGCTCGGCGGTCATGAACGGGAACCGGCCTCTGGACGACAAGGAGAGGAAGCGCTTTACCTACTTCTCGTCGCTGAGCCCCATGGCCAGGAAGATCATGCAGGACAAGGAGAAGATCCGCGAGAAGTACGGGCCCGAGTGGGAGCGGCTGCCCCCCGCGCAGCAGGACGAGATCATCGACCAGCACCTGGTGGCCCCGCACGTCCAGGCCCGCTACGCGGCTCACCGCACCGGGACCCCGGACCCCGCGCCCGCCGGCCTACCGGGCTCGCGCGGGCCCACGGGCCAGAAGATCGTGCACTTCGGGGACGAGGTGGGCGCGGGGACCCCGGGGCTTGGAGGAGTGAGGGTGGGGGAGGGGCGTCCGGAGCCGGAGGTGGGCTGACACCCCACCCCCGCGCGCGCCCCGATACAAGAGTGGGCTCTTAGAGACTCTTGGTCTGGACCTGAACCTGCCCCACTGTAGTGACACGGTAGCCAGAGACTTGCCAGCAGTGGGAGGCGGCTGCTGGTCAGAGGAGCCAGCCCAAAGTGGAAAGAGCAAAGCCTTTTAAGCCGCACGCACGCGTGGATTCTAACACAGCTCCACCACTTAGGCTGAGTGGTCTGAGTGACTTACACACAGCCTCAATTAGCCCCTGTGTAGAGCAAGCATAATAATAGTCCGCCCACAGGATTGTTGTGAGCGAAGGGAGTTAGTTCATGGGTGCCTGGTCCTTCCTGAGGTTAGAAGGGAAAGCCAAATCCCTCGGTCATCTCCTGAGCATCAACACTGCACTTCAGCCTTGAGGGTCACCACTGAAACAGGAAGGCATGGGAAGTGCAGAGGAGGGATGACAAGCCTCGGCGACACAGGGGTGTGTGCAGGTCTGTGGTGTAGGCGCCGTAAGGATGACACTGACCCAGTAACATAAAAGCTTCCACATCCCAAAGGCCGCAGGGGTTTGCACTGCTCCCAAACTTTGCTCTCGTTAATTTTGGGAACCTGTTCAACCAACAATGCCACTTTGTTGCCATAAGAATTGGCACCAAAGTGACTGGCCATTCAAACTAAACCCTGATGATGGAGGGCAGTCCAAAGGAGTGAAGGTTTGGATCAGGACACCTGCCTACGGCTCAAGCTAAGGCTGGAGCGAGTGGGAGCTGGGCATGGAGTGTTTCAGAGGAAGTTGACTGTTGAAGTAATTGAAGTTAAGAAATGAAGCGGAAATAAATGAATTTAAGACTAGTCAATGAAGTTAAGATTTAAATTGGTTTAAACGGATTTTCTGAGTTGAGCGTGCTGAGATGCTAATACAAAAAGTTTGTGTTACTCAAACTTTCTTGGATGTGAGGGAGTGTGAAAAGGCAGACATACACCGCAAACATTGCCTCATTCTGCCTGAATTAAGATACAATTCTCTGCTGGGCTTTACACTCTGAAAGACTTGCTGGAAAAACAAGGGTCAGGTAAACTGGAAAGTTTTAAGGTGCAGTCTTATTGTTGAGAGGTTTCAGAGCATACGTGTGTGTACCTATAGGGACATGTACAGTATCGGTCTCAGATGGGCTAATTGTCAATTCATGAAAAAATATAAATATGAGAGGAAAGACCTGTTCCCGTAAATGTTGGAACGTCATCATGTTACGTGTCTTGGTGTCTGCTGCAACATATGTACACCCCTGCTTCTAATCAAAAAACCAATGCCATGTAAGAACCTGATATCACCAATACGGTAAAAATAAAAGGGGCTTGGTGGCACAGGGGATTCAGCACAGGGTTGCTAACCGAAAGGTCACTGGTTCAAACCCACCAGATGCTCCATCGGAGAAAGATAATGCTTTCAACTCCCATAAAGAGTTAGTCTCGAAAACCCACAGGGGCCATTCTACCCTGTCCTATAGGGTCGCCGTGAGTCGGCACCAACTGGATGGCAGTTTGGTTTGAGTTTTTGAGTATTCCTTAGTAAGTGCCAGAGCAAGCTGAGATTGTGATCGAGGGTGACTTAAGGGCAGACATACTGCACTGTGGCACCTTCGTGCGCCTCTGCGAAGAGCTAACCAACCTTATTTCTCAGAGTTGACACTTGGCTTTGCAAATCTGCGCCTAAACCCCAGCTCTATCTGCCCAGCCTCAGCACACACAGGCAGACAAGACTCTGAATTTTAGGAGGGTGTGCCTGGCAGGTAGCGTTGCTTACAATAGCTACCTACCACATTCGAATGGTACTAACCCACACCCACTGCCATCAAGTCAATTTTGATGCATAGCAATCCTACTGTATAGGGTTTCCTAGGCTGCATATCTTTTACTGAAACAGCTTCATCTTTCTCCCTTGGAGCAGCTGATGGGTTTGAACCACCAGCCCTCCAACACTGACCTGACAGCATTTCTCTGAACTCACTGCTGTCAAGTCGATTTCCACTCACAGCAGCACTACGTGAAAGGGTGGAACTAATCGTGGGTCTCGAAGAGTGTAACTCATTCCGGGAGTGGAAAACCTGTCTTTCTCCTGACAGTGCTCCTAAAGAGCTTAAAATACTTTCCCGCGAGCTGGCTAAGAGACCACTCAGTAGTCTTGTTTCGATAGCACAGCGGTTCTCATCCTGTGGGTCGCAACCCCTTTGGGGGTTGAGCGACTCTTTCACAGGGGTCACCTGATTCATAACAGTAACAAAGTGACGGTTATGAAAATAATTGTATGGTTGGGGGGTAGCCACAGCATGAGGAACTGTATTAAAGGGTCGCGGCATTCGGAAGGTTGAGAAGCACTGCTTTAACAGATCTTGTATGGAAGAAGGTCAGCTCTTGGGCAAAGTGGGGCCGTAGATAAGGACAGGGTGGGAGGGCAGCTCCATAGTAGTTGGACAAAACTTATTGTCATCAAGTCCACTTCCACTCTTCCTGACCCTGTGTCGGGTGTCTGGGGCTGTAAATCTAATGGCAGGAGACAGCCTCATCTTTCTCCCGCATTAGGTTTGTCCCAAATGACGCTAGCCTAGTTTGATTAGGACAGTCTGTCCCTTCCTGTGTGATGTTTCTCCTGATTGGTCTCAGGGGCCTGCGTGGAATATCAAGTGTTGGAGCATGCATTCCAGGCTAGCTCATGCCTCGTGGCGCTAAAACCTACCAGCGTGGTTGACCCCAACAGCCACAAACAGACCCCAGTCCCAGCCCCAGCCCCAGCACAGCATTTGCCTTTCGTCGGTGTCTGACCTTAGAAGAAAGCAGGGGAGGTTCTGGCCAGCCTGTAGAATCTTAGATTGGAATTCTGGCTCCAGCATTTACTGATCTCCGGACAGTAGCAAACTGCTAACCTCTCCAAGTTTCAGTGTTCTCACTTCTAAAATCGCCCCAGGAGGATGATGGCAGTGATAATGTCTGTGAAAGGCTGCTGATGGCGGGGGTAGGATTAGCTCGTCTTCCCATTTCCACTTGGGACACTTACCATCGTCGTGCAATAAATACGCTGCTACTGTTGCTAAACTGGATGTAGAGTTACCCATTTGAGAAGCAGCCCTGGGCCCAGCACGTCCCCAGCTGTGCCCCTGGAAGCATGTACTTGAAACCTCAGTCTGCTCTGTCCAGTGTCTGGACTTGATACGGCAGTCTCTTATCAGTGGTCACATGAGCCTCAGACTGCCTTGGTTCAGCTCCTCAGAAGGACAGCTGCCTGTTTCTTTGAATGTCTTCCCTCTCCCCACCCCCAGTGACATTTTGTATCTCACACAGTCCTATTATCCATCAGATTATGTAAGTAGAGCTTCGCCATGTTGGGGCCTATGGATCTATTCCACGAGCAAATGAGTAGAAATGTAATAGTGAGACCTGTTTGGTTTTTTAAAAACAAACAAACTAACTAACAACCCACAAACTCCCTCAGCATATCTTAAGCTAAAAGAACTCAAGAAGAAATTCAAGCCTCAAGTTGCAATCTTGAAAGATTTTATGGGTGAAATATTGTATGATGGAAAAATCATCATGAGAAGTCGCTGTAGTTTCGCATTGTATGCCTGTATCATATTTTACTTACGGTAGGCACTTACACCACTTACACTGCTTCTATACTTTTGCTAAAGTGAATAGTGCTTCAAGCACGTGGATTTGCATGGGGCTGTGTCACTCCAGTACTCTCCAA